GGAAAATAAACCAAGTATGTAATTTTTAAGAAACTGATCTTTTGTTTTGAATGTGGGGACCTTGGCAGTGGACTTTATAGTCCTTAGTGCCTTTTTACTGAGAAATTTCCTTTAGCACCTATTTTTATTAGTTTTTAAACCAAAGAAAGCCAAATACCATTTTTACATTTAACAATGCTTCTCGTATGATTTTTATACCAGATAAGCTAAATGTTATCTTTATATTAGTGTGTTATTAATGTGAAACCTAATTTTAATAAAACCTTGCAGACATATTTATTTAATTTTTAATATTTGACCCCAAGGTAAGATTTTATAGACTCGTTTCAGCCTCTTATAATTTTTGCTACAGAGCAGGTTGGTGCTTTAAGAAAAACCTGTTATGCTTTTACTTTAATGTCCAGTTCACAGAAAAACTTGATGATACTTCTTTAACTCTAGCTAATATGTTTACACACAGAATGTTCTTTACAATTAACGTTTTAAAACTTGCTTAAACCTTCAAAATAATAATTTTTTTAAACTTTTTAATGTAGGTAAAAATGTACATTCTTATGCCTCTTAAAATTCTTTTACCAAAGGTGTATTTTGCTTTTCTTATACATCTTGCACATAAATTTTTTGGTTTTTTTTTCAATAGTTTTACATTCAGGAGGCCTAGTTACTTTTAAATTATACAACTTTTTTTGCATAAATCCTTTTTTTTAAACACACTTTTTTAATAACCTTTTTTTTTCTTTTACGACTTTTACAGGCAATTTTTCGACATGCCTTAACTTTCTGACTTACTACAAATACTTCTTTTTTTAAACAACCAGTTAATTTAATTTCAGGACAAGAATTTACCATATAACACCCTTTTTATATAAATTCTGCCCCTCCCCCCCTTTTTCCCTTTTTTTTCCCAAAGGTAATAACCATTCTTTTCCAAAGCGAACCTTTTTTTATGTCTGTGGACTAGACTGTCTAAGGCCACAAAAATAGAAGTTACTATAATACATGTTACACTGTTAACTTTTAGCAAACTTTACTTTTGTTGAAAACCTTGTAAGTTTGGGATTTTATTTATCCTTTGCTATTAATAAGACCTTGTTTTGTCCAAATTAGAATTGGTATGATGGCTTTTAAAGGAATAGTGTACACTTTTTTTTTTTAACTACTTGTGTATCTCTCTCTTTCTTTCTCTCTTTGACTTTGTCTCTCTTTGACTTTCCTTTTGCCTCTTTCTCCTCTTCTCTCTGCCTCTCTCTTTCTTTCTCTCTCTCTCTCTCCTTGACTCCCTCTTTGTCTGTCTCTTCCTCTCTCTCTCTTTGCCTCTTTTCCTCTCTGTCTCTTTCCTTTCTCTCTCTCTGCTGGTCTTTCCTTGCCTCTGCCAGCCGCTTATGCTGCTCTTCTCTCAACCACTGTGTGTTGGGGGCGGGGGGTCTAAAACCAGCTGTAACCAAGTGTCTGTGTACAGGAACTGGTCTGGGTTCCCTGGCTTGCATGTCACCTTGTGCTATACCTTTGAAACAAGGGATCTGTCCAGGTTTCTTTCTAATGGCCAACCTACCTCTAATGCTGGCCAGTCTATCTTACACAAAGTTTTAAGTTTTCCTGGTGTCATAGTACTCCATAGTCTCCCTTAAATCCTTTTTTTGAAAATTTTCAACAAGTTCCTAGTGGGGTGGGCTTACTTTGTGCCTCACCCATGTTTCCTCTAGACAAAACACCACGCTCACACCACACACACACCACAAAACAAAGAATGGGTAAAAAGGGCACACACACACTTTTGTAGTTTACACAAAACCAAAATCAGAGTATCCAGAAATCCAAACCAGGTCAAAACCAAAACCAAAGTATCAAGCAATCCAAGTCAAGTCAAAAATAAAAACCAAAGTGCCGGTACAGGCACACCGTGGGTGATCAGGCCACGCTTCCACTCAAATGGAGTGGGCAAGTTCCCATCACCGGTCCTGTCAAGCAAATCAAACCAAATCAAAACCAAAAGCAAAGTGCCGATAAAGGCACACCATGGGTGATCAGGCCACGCTTCCACTCAGACGGAGTGGGCAAGTTTCAAAGACTAGTCTTACCAAGTTTTAGATGTCCAGATTCCAAGTGCCCATTCCTTCCCGGTGTTCAGCCACTGCGTTGATCCTCCACGGGGGCCTGCTACACACTGCTGTGGTGAGGCATCCCACCAGAGCAAATGCCTACCCAGGAGCGCTCTCAGGATCCGCATCGCTCGGGCTGGTCGGAGTCCGCCGCAGGGATGTTCCACAGGGCAGGCTCAAGCCGCCTAAGGAGCTGCCTCGACCATCCGCCAGTCACCTCGCTTCCGGGTCAGGGAAACAAGAAATGTAGCAGGATGAGCCACAGACAAAACTCCTCAGACCCCGAGTTAAAGAAGGAAGGGGTTTATTCGGCTGGGGGCATCGGCAAGACTTCTGTCTCAAGAGCCCAGCTCTCAAGTGAGTAATTCCTGTCCCTTTTAAGGGCTCACAACTCTAAGGGGGTGCATGTGAGAGGGTCGTGACTGATTGAGCAAGCAGGCGGTACGTGACGGGGGGCTGCGCGTACCGGTAATTAAATTGGAATAAAACAAGATAGGGATTTTCACAGTGCGTTTCTATACAATGTCTGTAATCTACAGATAACAGAACCAATAGGTCAGGGGTCGATCTTTAACTGCCAGGCCCAGGGTGCGGCGCTGGACTGTCTGCCTGTGGATTTCATTTCTGCCTTTTAGTTTTCACTTCTTTCTTTGGAGGCAGAAATTGGGCATAAGACAATATGAGGGGTGGTCTCCTCCTTTAACTCCTTCACAAGCTTTGGAAGATTTAGAAAGAACCTGGAGATTTCTTTCTTTCTTGGTTTTC